GTAAGTACGGCTTATTTTTTGAGACTTTTTGTTTTTTTTTTTTTTTTGTTTTTTCAGAAATCCTGTTTTATGATGTGATTGCTGGTTTTCAAAAAGAAGAATTATTCTTATCCTTCTGTTTTATCTTAACATTTTTACTGAACTATTTTTACAATCAATATAAACTCTGTTCATGTTTCAGAGCAGATAAAGATGGTTTGTCCTTTTATTTCTCTCTGGATTTGTCCATATTCTTTGTTGTGTTTGAACTAGAGTATCTTACACACTGGATTTAGTTTTAAAATATTAACTAAAGAAATTTGGGCTTTCAAAATCTCCAAAAAGTGAAATTTAAGAAGTTAATTTTAGAAACAATTCTTCTATAAAAACCAATAAGATTGACCTTTTATAGCAGTAGTATTAATTTTATTTTATTTTTATTAGATCATGCATTGTCAGCAATTAATTTATAATGTCTATTTTTACTTTAATCTTAGTTTTTTTTTTAATCCCAATCAGTAACATGAATTTCTATAGTTTTTTTTTTTTTTTTAAATTAAAAATGGTCACAAATGGGTGTTCCAGGAAGTACTTATAAGTCACTAATAGATAATATACGCACTTTAGTAGATATTTCTCTAAACATGTGCAGATGTTTGCTAAAATGATGACCTGAATACATTTCCAGTGTGCTAAATTGAGCCTCTTGGAAATTTCAAGATTAATTTTTAGGCTCGGGTAGAAAACTAAAAAGTTATTGATGTCAGATAAAGCATTACTACTATGCACTTTATAGTGTTTTTCTTTACAATCTTATGGTTGCATTGAAAAACATGGTGGATGCTCCTTGTATACTGCTGGATGCAACTTGAGTGATCCATTGAGCAAATTAGAGTGAGGTCTTTTATAAATCCATTCATAATATGACAGTCGTATTAGCAGAACTGGTTTATGAAGTTTATACTATATAGAATCCATTTCATTTGTTGCAAATTGTTTTTTTTTTAATGAAGATAACCAAATAAATTACTTTATACACAAATAGGTAAAATGATATAATTGTGGTTGTTTATTTCTCTCCATTTTGAATGAAATATTAAAAACAAATCTGAAAAAACTAGAGATGCATATAATAGTTTAGCACTGAATAACTATAAACAAAAAAAACAAACCTTTCATTGCTAAAGTAGAATGTTTGTTATGGAAGAATAGGATGAATTTCTTTTTCTAGCAATGTTGGCTTGAAAGAGGAAAATATTTTTTTATTTCTGTTATGATGTTGATTTGGGGTTAATAAGACAAATGCCAAATAACACGTAATAATAAAAAGGGGTTTATTCGGTTGGTAAGTAGGTACAGAAATCGCCTGAGTAGTCTATAACTAACTCAGCCAAGAACTTCTCCGACTCTGTCTTTTGACATGCCACTATTTAACGTCTTTGTTTGTAGACAAGTTCATCTTCAAGAGGGGTGGTAGGTTTCCTACACAACAATTTCAAAACAGATTTTCAGTGATTAAGAAACAAAGCTCCAATAAGAAGTAGGTTTTGGCAAAATTTATTTTACAATTTAAAACATTGAGAAAAAAATAAACCATACGATGACTTTTTGTTTTGATTGGGGAATGACATCAATGAGTCACAAGAATAATTTTGCCTGTATCTATCTATATATAAAATTCTATGACTTCTGTTAGTCCATCTTGTCCATCACACCCTCTAAAATAGCCATACGTTAACCAATCAAAACCAAATTTTGGGGAGAAGTGCAAACAGGTAAGCGGGTACAAAAGTACGGCTGGTTTTACTAGGGTGTGTAGCTTCGTGCAATAAATTTCCATTAATTTTTTTGGAAAAATTAAGTTTTATTATTTAACATACAAAATACTCCCACTATTTTTAAAAACAAAATATTAAAATAACACTTATTCAATAAAAGTGGAATATTGTTTTTTGCATGTCTTTTCTTTAAGTCTTTACATACAAGAATCCAGTTTCCAGTTTACCCTGCGTTTGTGAGAACTATAAACAAATCATAGGGCCAAACACTTCAAAAAGTTGGAATTTTAGCTCCAGAAAGAAATATTTACACATGGTCAGTTGTATGTTGCATGCTCAAGAATAAGAAATCTTAAGAATTTATTCTTCGTTGTTAAAAAGAAAGAAAAAATTTTCTTAAAAAATATTGTTTACCATGAAGTCCTATAAAATTAAAGAAATTATTAAACTGCAAAGTAGGGTTTTTGTCAAAATATTTTCCAAATAAATCAACTTATTCAAATTTCATCAGTTGGTTTGCAAAATTGAATGAAACATAAGAGTTTGTAAATTTCCATGAAAAATGTTAGTGATAACTTCAACAATACTAAATACTTGAGGATTTCAGCATGCATCAGCGTGTTGCAAAAAAAATTCTAGTGAAGAAGGTGGAAAAATTGGACAATGTGATTGTTGTCTGTCTTTTCTGCCAACATTATTTTATGACAATTGTTGCCAAAAATGTTAAAACTAGAATTGAATATAGTCTCATGATATTTGGAGTCCACCAAACCTTGACCTATTCAAATAATTTGGTTTAAGCAGATGTAATTGGTCTATTTTTCATTGGTGGTCACAGAAACTCCAGTGATGAGGGTAACAATACTGAAAGGGACTAAATTTCTCTCTCAAAATATAAACTGGTTAAATGAAAAATTGGAAATTTTACTTAATTGAGAAAAAGATGCACTTTTGTTCTGAAAGATAAACATTGCTCCAAATTATTGGTTAAAAATTTGTTTCAATTTCAAAACTGAAATTTTTTTAATGGAATCAAAATCATTTCTATTTTGTTTATTTCAGATATATATTCTGAATAATTTTGCGTGTGAGGAATTATTTTATTATTTGCTATGAAGAATTAGAATCAACTGATCATGCTCAAATGAAACTAGTCGTAATATTTTCTGTTCTGATTGTGTTTTCTTCACAAGTTGAAAGGTTACAGTACTTCTGGGTGAATGCTTGAATTGATTCAATCTTATCAGATTGCAAAAATGAAAGTTGTTTTGAATGAGCCACTCTTCTAGATCTTATTGCATTAATGAATGTGTCACCCAAGGCTCAACCCTTGGACCTACATTATTCCTAATTTTCATCAATGACCTTCCTGATGGTTTCAACTCTCAAGCCTAAACAGTTCATTAAGGTTAAATTGGCAGCAGATCTCAAGTGATCTAAAATCTGCTATTAACTGGGGCAAGGGATGGCTTGTTAATTTTAATGTAGCCAACACAAAACTGCTCTCTATTAATCATTTGAGAGACCCCTCCATGAGCATTGCTAATGCTAACCACCAGGAGAGTGATGTCTTTGCTAACAGTTTCTTTTCTCACATATCTCATCTGTAGCATGCTTTTCTGGCTTTTTGCTTTCCAGGTAACTTTGATCTTCAAAAGTTTCAACTATTTATTCCTGTCTTAATAGTAAGTCCAATAGTTTCAATAAAGAAAAACTGACAGCTGATCTCAAAGATGACCTTCAATCAGTTGTTAAATGGAGCAAGAAATAGCTTGTGCATTTTAATTCTTCCAAAACAAGTTACTATCTTTTAGTCATAATAGAAAACTATTTTTGCCTTCTATCAACATGGCTGATGCTAACCTCCAGGAGAGCAACTTTTTGCACATTCGTGGTTTCAGGTTTTCCACTGACATGGAATGATTGTATGGAATCAGCTGCTAGTAAAGTTGGTTCACTGTCTCATACCAGACAATTTTTCTTGTCAGAATCTGTCTTGGACATTTATAAATCTACCACCAGTCCTTGCACTGAATATTGCTACCATATTTGGTTTGATTATTCTGCTATATTTTTCAAAATACTTGACAATATCCAAAAAAGAGTCTGTAATGTTATTAGCCCTGACCTGGCATCTCACCTTTAGTTACTTTCCCACATCCATGACACGTGGTTTTGCTCTGTCTCTTCTATAAATATTTTCATGGCAGTTGCTTTAATGAGCATTCATCCCTTGTACCTTGACCACATGAATTTAAATCTACTACTAGACTGGCAACTAAGTCTAGTTTTACTGTTGAACTACCTAGATGAAACTGTAAGTTCTATTCTAATAGTTTTTTTCTCTTGTACTTCTTGCTTATTGTTGGAACTCTCTTCTGGTTTCTTGCTTCCCTGCCAACTACAATCTTCAAAAATTTAAATGCAACTTCAACCGCAGTCTTCTGATTTCCTAAAACCTGTTCTTTTATTGTCCTTTCTCCTCATTAGTGTCTTCTCATTTTCTTTCACTTTCAGTAACCTCTTGTGTCTTAGTGGAGTTATCACTAGATGGGGTGAAATGATTAAAAGAAATGATGATGATGCCACCCAAATCTCACAAATTCATAGCTGTTTCTTACCTTGGTTGTTATTGACACTGTGCTTCAACCACATACTTTCCAGGGGTCTTTTTTCATTGTTCACTGATTCTTGTGTTTGTTATATAGTTTTTTGTACATTCCTTCTGAACTTGGAGATGTTCTGGGTTATGACGATAAACTACACCCAGCATCAAGGCCTCTGATTGGAAGGTTTTGAGAAGCGTGTAACCACCTCTTAAATGCTGTTGTTCCCAGATCCACCCTGATATGGGATGGTAACACCTTTTAGGGGGCCAGTTATAATGCACCCCTAAACTGGTGTTAAAACACTATGAAAAAGTAGAAATATATTTCCATAGTGAATGTGCCAGCAATATGTTTTTGTAATAGAATATTATATTTTTGTAAAAAAAATTACCAATACTCCCAAGAAAATTAAATTTCAGCATTAAATGACCCATAAGGATGTTGATATGCCATTAAACAAACAAATCAATCAATCAACTGAACTGGAGAATATATTGATTTACTGTTTGATCTGGAGAGTGAACTTACAACCACTAGGTGATTGTGACACTTGAACTGTTGATTATATCCTCTAACCCACTGTTCCAAATGACATCAGGTGGTGTATTTTTTGAATTGCTAAACCCATGTCAGA